TCCGACTCGCTCGCTCGCGTCCTCGTCCTGGCAGGAGCCTCTAAAGCGTTCCCTGTCTGCGACCTTCACCTGTGTTTAGGGTGCCCTCATCCCGAGATGAGGAGCGGTTTGTTCACTGGCCGTGGGCTTAGCGAGTACCCTTCGGACAAAGCCTTGCGGTAGCTTAGTGACGGAGGAGGAGGAGGAGGAGGAGGAGGAGGAGGCAAGGTGAGGGGTTCGCCTTGGGAGCTTGAGTTTGCAGACCAGGGCTGCTGTGCGGAGCTGCTTCCTCGGTTTGTCCTGCTGTCCAAGAAATGAATATTTGCTTTACGGGAGGCCGGGTCGTAGGGGAAGCAGAAGAGAGGCTGCCGCTGCCTGAGCAGAAGCGAGGAGGGGAAATGAGGAGGCAGCCTCCTGAGAATTAAGAATGACCAGATCCTGGCTGGCTCCAGGGTAACCGCCCTGTTCCCCGGGTGGCTGGGGTTAGCTCTGTGCACTGGCGTTCGCCCGGCAGTGTTCGTAAGGGGTCGTAAGAGACGCTAGCTTCGCGTCTTCCGATTTCGATCTCTCTGCTCAGCAGGCAGAACAGACAGGCAACGCCGTGAGCATCAACGTGCCGCAAGTCCAGCTCATCAACCCCGAAAACCAAATTGTAGAGGTGAGGTACTCCCCTTGATGACCCCTGCAAGTTCTTCTCCCGGGCTTGCGCTGCCGCCTTTTGCTTGAGCCTGACCTTGCGTTTCAACACCCCCGACGTTTTGCCTGCCCAGACTGACGGAACGATGAACTTGGACAGCGATGAAGGGGAGGAGCCGTCACCTGAAGCCCTGGTCCGTTACCTTTCGATGAGACGGCACACGGTCGGAGTAGCTGACCCACGGTTAGTATCGGACTCTTAACTCCCTGATGGAGGACAAGGGGGCCTCGAAGATTGCCTCCTAGCGCGTGGCGTTGGGCCTTCTGAGATAGCACAGGTTTATTCATCTGCTACGCTGGCCGCTGAGAGGCTGTGCCTTGAGGGGGACTTCTGGGCTCTGTGGTATGTAAGAGTTGGTACGGTTTGGACTGGCGGCGGTCTCCGGTGCCCGGGCTGGGCAATGCACTTCCCAGCCTGCCCTCGGTCCCGGGTCTCGGCGTCGCTCTAGCCGGACCGGGTGGTGCTGAGTGCGCGTGTCCGCGTCGCGGCCGGTATCGAACCTTTGGTTGCCCGCTCCTCCTGTGAGCGGCTTGGAGTTATTTCTGCGAACTTGATGCTGGCTAGGCAGAGGAATCAATTCAAGGTCGCTCTTCAGCAAAAGCGTTCTTTTAAACGTCCCGGTCCCGCTGCACAGCTTGGTTAGTATTTCAGCCGAGGGTGGGATTCTTTCCCTCTCTCCTCCCGATCAGCTTCTGTGTAAGCTATAGCGGAGCCGAGTGGTCTGCCAGCCAGTTTCTCGCCTAAGCTGCACGGCTGTCGTGTCCTCGCTGAGGTTTCTTGTGATAAATGCGACTGAGGTTAATGCAAAGAGCTACTGCTGGCAAATCTCGGCTTGGAGGGGAGAAAAGGACAAAGGGAAACAGAAGAGTGGCTTGGCCTACTCCCTGTGACCATTTTCCAGAGCGATAGGAAGCCTTTTGTGAAGGGAAGCTGAGCCCGCTGGGCCCGCGGGTGGTTCTCTTCGGGTCACTGCTAATTCTCGCCTGTCTGTAAACGTGCTTGCGCAGGACGGAGGTCACGGAAGATCTGCAGAAGCTCCTGCCCGGCTTCCCCCGCGTCGCTCCTCAGGCTCCGTTCCTGCAGGTCACCCCGAACGTGAACTTCATGCACAACGTGCTGCCTAGGCAGAACCTGCAGCCCACGGGCCAGCTGGAGTACAAGGTACCGACCGACGCGCGTGCTCCCGCTGCAGCCTGTGCCCCCGGCGCCTGGGGGGGTGTTTGTGCTCGCGCTCGCTCCGTTTGCCAGTTCCTCGGACTCCATAAGCTTCAGGATTTACCCTCTTGCTCCCTCTGTAGCTGTGATTCCAGTTGGTTACTTAAAAAGCTAAAGATCGAAAGAAGGCTGCAACGCGAAATGAATTACTGGGCTGGGGAGCAATAGGACTGCGCTTGCCTGGCTGGGGAGCTGCAGGCTGCAGCCTGCCTGGCAAGCGCAGCAGAGTGCGGGCAAATGGAGAGTTAAACGCTGCTCTCCCGCTGACACCGCCTCTCTCTGCCCCGCTTCGGCTCCGAGATGCTGGTGATTAATCTCTCCTGAAGCCCGGGAGGCTCGTCCTCTCTCCTGCCACCGTCCGGCTTTGTGCCTTAGTGCTCGGGTAGCGGAAGGATCCGGCGCGGGGTTGATACCTGCTCTCCGTGCTTCCCAGGAGCAGTCCCTGCTGCAGCCCCCCACGCTGCAGCTGCTGAACGGCATGGGCCCTCTGGGGCGGAGGGCATCCGACGGCGGCGCTAACATCCAGTTACACGCGCAGCAGCTGCTGAAGCGCCCTCGAGGTCCGTCTCCGCTCGTCACCATGACGCCAGTAAGTAGCAAGAGGAGAGAAGATACCTTCTCCCGCAGGCAGAGGTGGCTGCCTCCGGGTCGCGGCAGACACTAGCACGCGGGAGGCGCTGCGGGGTGCGTGCCCGCTCGCTTCCAAAGGTTCACCCACCTCCAGAGCGGCAGGGCGCTCTGTCCCCGCGTGGGAGAGCTGCTGTCCTCTCCCGCGGCTGGCAGCTGAGGCGGTATTCCTCTTTGGCCTGACAGAGCGTTTCCGAACGTTTTTATGGTTGCTTTTCTTCTCCTTTGCTGCTCTACTAGAGAAAACGAAAGCGTCCGTCTTGGGCGTTAGCTGTGCGTTCTTCCTTGAGGCGTTCGCAGCAAAAGCAGGGGCAGCCCTGTCTGGGGAAGGAGCGTCGGAAGGGGCCCTTGGGGCCGCGGAGGAGCTGGCCTATGTCCTCGCGAAGGCCTGGTTGGGGGCGGTCAGGCGTCCGCCGCGCGGCTGGGGCCACGCTGGCTGCCTCCTGGAACCCGTGGCTTCTCTCCTCTCCGCAGGCTGTCCCCGCTGTCACCCCCGTGGATGAGGAGAGCTCCGACGGGGAGCCGGATCAGGAGGCCGTGCAGAGGTAACCCCCAGTCCGTTAACGTTTGCCCTTATTACCCTCAAAGAGGTTCGCCCCGTGGTGTTCCACGGCTGAGTTCAAACGCGAGCAACCTCATCGCAGGCAGCAGTGTCGATAACAGCGAAGGCTCAGCGTTTCTCTTGCTCTCGTGGGTGTTGATTTACTGTAGGGAGCTACTCTGACGCTACCAGGTGCTTCCAGAGCCGGATTCCCCCTGAAACGGTTAGCTATTTGAGCAGTAAGCTCTCCGGAAACTCTGACGCCGCTCAGTTCCTTCGCTTAGGGTGCGCCAGCATGCAATCCACGCTAACCCGCAAAACGAGCGCTAAGCGATTCACCCCTCCCTGCTGAGCGACGGGGGTAGGAGGATCTCGCCCGTGGCCTTGGGTGTCGGTGCAGCTTTTGGATCAAGACGTGCAGTAAACATCCAACTCTGATGCCTTAGAGTGAGCTTGCTGGAAATACGGGTACCGCTAGCTTCTAATTTTAGCAGTAGGCCTTAGAGAATAGTCTGCTCCAGGAAGGAAAGGGTTATTAGGTATCAGGCTGGAAAGTTCTCTTTGCCTGCTCCAAACACGTCCTGGGAAGCGGGTAGAACGTGCTCGTACTTTCTCGATCCCTGAAAGCACTAACCGTGTCCTTGCTAACGTTTTCTTAGTAGCTTTTGCACAGTTTCTTCTCTGCTAACCAGCTGGTGCGCTCCACGCGGTGGGTGTGGTTGCGGAGCGCTCCTGCTTCTTACCTCACGCTCGGAAAGTTTTCCGGACCCCCTCGCCCCCCCC